GCAGGCTGGGCAGCAGGCCGGAATAGGGGTGCAGAAGCTGGGGTGTGGTGCAATGCAGTGGGCCCCTCCCTGAGGGGGTGCATCAGCATGCAGCAGAGGACCCCCCCTTGCGGGGGCAGGCAGCAGCATCCCAAGGCAGGAAGGGGTTCAGCCCACTCACTCCTGTCATGGGTGATCTAAATGGTTGTCATGGGTGATCTAAATTACCTGGACATTTGCTGGGAGGAGCAGTCAGCCAGGTCAGACTGTTCCAGGAGGTTCCTGGCTGAGATACAGGACCTCCACTTAACCCAGGAGGTGCACAGTCCCACCAGAGGAAATGCCCTGTTGGACCTGGTCCTGGCCACAGGCGATGATCTGGTAAGGGGGCTCCAGGTCCTTGACCACCTGGGTGATAGCGATCATGGCTTGCTGGAATTCACCATCCAGCGCAGGGTGTCAAGGGCCTGCAGCAAGGTGGTAGCCCTAGACTTCAAGAGGGCCAACTTCAACGAGTTGAAGAGATTAGTGGGAGAGGCGCTGGGGTTCTCGAGGGCAGGGGAACTCAGTGCCCAAGATTAGTGGTTGTTCCTTAAGGAGACGATACTCAGGGCCCAAGGGGTGACAATCCCAACAAGAAGCAAGGGGGGCAAGAGTGCCCAAAAGCCCCCCTGGCTCACCAAGGACGTCTGAGAATGCCTGGTTGCCAAAAAGGCGGCATACACCCGGTGGAAGGGGGGGGCTATCTTCAAAGAGGAGTATACCTCCACTGCTCGGGCCTGTACGGGGGCTGTTAGGAAAGCTAAGGCAGACATAGAGCTAGGACTAGTGTCCAAGATCAAAGATAATAAAAAGTCCTTTTTCAAATATATAGGGAGGATGAAGAAGGCACCGGGAAATGTGGGGCCCCTGCAAGATATGCTGGGCAATTCGGTGGTTGCGCCAGAGGAGAAGGCAGACCTCTTTAACAAATTCATCACCTCCGTTTTCTTGTGCAAGGACCGGGACTCCCCCACCATGATTCAAGACGGACTCGAGGGGAACGCCTCCAGACCTAAGGTTGAGGAGGACTGGATTAGAGTGCTTCTGGAGGGGCTGGACATGTTCAAATCAGCAGGTCCAGATGCTCTCCACCCCAGGGTGTTGAGGGAGCTAGCAGGGGTTATTGCAGGGGCCTTGGTATGGCTTTACGAGCGCTCATGGTGCTCGGGCCAGGTGCCAGATGATTGGAAGATAGCCAATGTGGTCCCCATCTTTAAAAAAGGGAGGAGGGAGGACCCGGGCAACTATAGGCCCATCATTCTTACGTCAATCCTGGGGAAACTCTTTGAGAAGATCATAAAGGAGCACATCTGTGATGGGCCAGCATCAGGGATGATGCTCAAGGGCAACCAGCACGGTTTCATTAGGGGCAGGTCATGTCAGACCAACCTGATTGCCTTTTACAATCAGGTCACAAAAGCATTGGATGCATGTGTCGCCGTGGATGTAGTCTTTCTGGACTTCAGCAAGGCCTTTGACACTGTTGACCACCCCATCCTCATTAAAAAACTAGGCAACTGTGGCATCGATGCCTACACCATCAGATGGATTGCAAATTGGCTGAAGGGTCGTACTCAGAGGGTGGTGGTGGATGGGTCATATTTGATCTGGGGGGAAGTGGGCAGCGGAGTCCACCAGGGGTCAGTCCTTGGGCCCACGCCGTTCAATTTCTTTATCAGCAATTTGGACAACGGGGTGAAAAGCAACCTGTTTAAATTTGCTGATGATACCAAAATTTGGGGTGAGGTGGGAACACTAGTAGGGAGGGAAAGACTGCAGCAAGACCTGGATAGGTTGCAGGGGTGGGCTAACAAAAACAGGATGCGTTTCAATACTGACAAGTGCAGGGTGCTTCACTTAGGCAATAGTAACCAGCAGCACACTAATAAGATGGGAAACTCCCTTCTTGAGAGCATGGAGGCTGAAAGGGATCTTGGAGTCATTATTGACTCCAAGATGAACATGGGCCGACAATGTGGGGTCACAGTTGGCAGGGCCAACCGGACTCTATCATGCATCCACACGTGCATCTCAAGTAGGGCCAAGGAGGTGATCTGCCCCCTCTACGTGACACTGGTCAGGCCACAGCTGGAGTACTGTGTCCAGTTCTGGGTGCCCCACTTCAAGAGGGATGTGCACAACATCGAGAGGGTCCAGAGGAGGGCCACCCACATGATCGGGGGCAGCAGGGCAGACCCTACAATGAGAGGCTACGGGACCTGAACCTGTTCAGCCTTCACCAGAGAAGGCTGAGGGGGGACCTGGTGACTGTCTATAAACTCACCAGGGGGGACCAGAAGGGTTTGGGGGGTTTCCCCTAGCGCCCCCCGGGGATAACAAGGAATAATGGCCACAAGTTGTTGGAGAGTAGGTTTAAATTAGACATCCATAAGAACTACTTCACATTTAGGACGGCTAGGATCTGGAACCAACTTCCGAGGGAAGTGGTGCTGGCTCCTACCCTGGGGGGCCTTAAGAAGAGGTTTCATGCCTACCTGGCTGGGGTCATTTGAGCCCAGTTTTCCTCCTGCCCAGGCAGGGGGTCGGACTTGAAGATCTACAAGGTCCCTTCCAACCCTACTTCTATGATTCTATGAATCTCCCAAAAGCTCTGAGACCAAGCCAGGAGCTAACAGTAGCCAGAGGCAGGAAAGGGCCTGGCCATCTTCTCCTCAGAAGCTCCTGAGACCAAGCTTGCAACAACAGCAACCTGAGACAGGAAGGGGCATGGCCAACTTCCTCCCAGAAGCTCCTGAGAGCAAGTAGCCCTGAGCTGCTTGCTAGGACAGCTTTTTGTACTGATGGGGCCAGGACAGGTGCTGGCCACAGGCTCTAGCTCCCCCTGGCTGCAGATCTGGGAGGAGCCAGGCAGGGTTATTTTGGCTGAAGTGGCACAATTTGCTCCACAACAAAGTGCATGTCTGAGCACGTGCGGTGAGGCAAAAAGCCCCGGCTCAGATTTGCACCACTTCTATTTGAGCTACTGCAAGCTCATGTGCTTGCATGTGTGGATGTGCCTGACAAAAAGAGAAAACTGGGTGGGGATTTGATAACAGCCTTCATATTCCTGAAGTGTGATTATAAAGATCATAGAGATAGCCTTTTCTCTGTGACTATAGGGGACTGCACTAGGAGCAGTTGAATCAAGCTGCAGCAGAGGAAATTTAGACTAGAGATGAGAATAAACTTTCTAATTATGAGGATTGTCAAGTGTGGGAACAGGCTACCTAGAGCAGCTGTGGAATCTCCATCCCTTGAAATTTTCTACAGCAGGTTCAAAAGACAAACACTTGCCTTGGATGGCTTAAACAGAAGTGATCCTGCCTTGAGAGGGAGGCTGGACTAGAGGTCCTCCTGAGGTCCCTTCCAGCCCTACTTTCCTGTGATCCTGTGAATCCTTTATTAAAACATTTTTTTATAATTTATTTACCCATTATACATTACCTATAAATGTATCCTTAATATAAAATGTGATTGATTTTTTTTCATATTAAATTCAAATTCTCCCTAAGATAATTGGTCAGTGACCATTAAAATGAGTGGGAATGCATTCATTTTAAACATCTATTAGATAACTTTGAACAATCAAAGTCCAAGGAAATAGCATGCAGCAACATCTGAATTGAGATTGCCTAAGAATTTTCCTTCTAACATGTCATTTTCAGTTTCCTCAAAGTTGATGCACTTGCTCTGCCTGAGAATAATTCTTGCAAGATGCACCAGCAATGGACATGTTGTTTTGAAGCATGTGGGAATTCAGAGTGGGAAAAATGCAGTTTTCTGGCGAAATAAGACATACTTGTCATTTTTTAACAAGTATCAAGTGTTTGAGATTTAGACAATGGAAACCTGAAAATTGGCATGTGCCTGAATGTGCCTTTCAAAGGTGAGATTTGATTTGGCTGAATTTTAAGGGATTGAAAAACATAGTTTCCTAATGCACACTGGTTATTTTTGTACAATATGAAGAATAAAAAAAAGAATCTGCCCAGCTTCCATTGGCATTTCATATTTATGCGTATAGAAATTGAGTGGAATTTTCCACAGAGGCAATGATCTTTTAAGCACATATTGAAGTACTTTGCTGAAATGGGAGCATTAATCTCTTTCTGTTTTCAGGGTTTGTCTAACCACAAACTTGTATGGGTTTAACTTACATTCTTTTTAACTGATTTAGTCAGACCAGTGCAAAAGGCTGTTTTAGTTTGCACCAGGATTTCATTTAAAGCAGAGCAAAACAAGTCATTCTTAAACCAAAATAAAAATATGAACACAGTGATTTGCATTAGTTTAATTTAAATCAGTTTTTAAACTTAGTTTAAAACCAGTATATCTAACTCCATTAGACAAGCCCTTAACTCCCGATCTATACAGCGGGGAGTCAAGTCTACATATTTCTGAATACAATTCTGAGGAAGAAATCCAATTATTCTCCTTTCTTTCCTGTGTGGATCATTTAATATCTGTCATCTTCTGTAGTCCCAGAACACCAGGTCAAATTCATGGTGCACTTACATCAGTGTATGCAAGAGCCAAATTTGTCCCACACTTGATATTATCCATATTCCACAATTCCACAATTTCACAAGGACCAAACATTGAACCTGATTCTGATTCAACCAAAGTTAAAGAAAAAAAATATGTAATTTTAAAGGATTTGAATGGAGAAGTTATATTTTCTTTTCTTACCCTGTTTATAATTATGTGATTTCACAGCCTCTACATAACATTCTCTTAAAATACACAAATATATTTTCATTATCCATTCAAATGAATGTTGGAAATCTTCTATCAGAAGTGGTCTGCAAAGGGAAAACATTATTCTGTCCCCTTTATTTTTTAATTTTCCTAAATTAACCCCCCTATTTTAAATATATTAAAATAATAGAGGATTTTTAAGGAGCAAATATGACCATTTGTATATGTAAATTATTATTTTTGTAATGAATCCTGATCTAATTTGTTACTCTCTTTTGTAGTTTCCTCAGAATGAAGATACTGATATTGTTTACTTTTATCCTTGCAAATGGGTTGATTATGGGCATTGACACTTCGGTAAGTGTTACTTATTACTCTTGTATTCAGAATGATTATGATAAATTGAAGAACTAGTGTGATTAGCAAGATGAAATTTAGTGAAGACAACTGCAAAGTATTACCTTGGGAAAGAGACATGGAATGCACAAACACAAAATGAGAAATAAATTAACAGTAGTGTAGAAAAGGATCTGAGGGTTATACTGGAACAGAACCAATGTGATGTTGTTGATAAAAACCTCATTCTGGTATGTATTATCAGGAGTAGTGTTTAGTTTTGGTCACTATACTTTAAGAAAGATATCAACAAATTTGTGTCTCAGGAGGAGAGTAACAAGAATAAGAAGTGTGGAAAACAACCTCTGAGAAAAGATTCAAAGGACAATGTTTTTTCTGTAAAAATGAGATTGAGGACAGACACAATGGGAATTTATACACATGCTCTGGGAGTTGGAGGGGTGCACTTTAATTAGAGCGGTACTGAGAGCCACTCTAATTAAAGTGCTGAGTGTCATGTGTATCAGCGTCCCCACACTGAAAAATGGCAGTAGGGGCACTTGAACTAAAACTGGTTGAATGAGCATTAGTTCAAGCTGCCATTTTTTCAGTGTAGGGATGCTGATACAAGGAGCAGTGGAGTCTATTGGACCATGGTAATTACCACAGTCCAGCAGACTCGATTAATCAAGTTTGCTCAAATGCACTGTAACTACAGTGCATCGGAGCAGCCTTGCTGCACATGTATAGGCACTAGGCCTGTGCAAAGCAGCAAGTATTCAATTCAGCTTTGGATTCAGCTGATTCAGAGGGACAGTGATTTGATTCAGTGATTTGAATCACTGTCCCGATTTGATTTAGCTGATTTTTGGATTCAGAGATTCAGCCACCGAATCAGGCTGAATCCCCTCTGAATTGTACAGGTGGTGGCAGTGGCAGGGGTGTGGCAGCAGTGACTGGGACCCCCCCCCACTCCCCCAGCCCCCCACCATCATATTTGCTCACCCGGCCCCAATGTCCCAGCACTTGAGAGGGGAATTGATTTGGAAATTTGGGAGGTCACTGCTTGCCACTGCAGGGAGCTGGACTCAGGCTCCATGCCAATAAGTAGTGGGTGCAGGAGGCTGGACAAGGGGGGAGGGGACCATGGGGGAACCCCCACCTGACCCCATTCCCCTGCCAGCTCCCCCAGCCCCCTTGACAGCCACACTGCATCCGTGCAATGTGAGAGCTGCTGTGTGGGTGCCAGGTAGGGGGCAGGGGAGAGATCCCCTCTGGCCCGCACTGCATGGGGGAGCTTTGCCACAAGCCCTCAGAGGCCCCGATCACCAGTGCTTGATGGTCTTAAAGAAAGCCCTGCACTCAATGGCTGCATTAGCAGTGATCGGGGCGCCCCCCCTACGGGCTTGTGGCAGAGTCCCTCTGCGCAGCTGGGGGCAGTGGGGATTGCTGCTAGAACTACCATAAGAAGGGACATTGTTACATATTCTGATGTTTCCATTCCCAGGTTTGGGTAAAACAAAGGAACAAGGACATGAGTGAAAATTAAATTCAGTGAAGGAAGAAAACTTAGGTTTGATTAATTTCTATGCGAGCATAGTAAGGTGAAGTCATTAGCATGAAGCCCATTGTCTACTTTTTAATATTATTTATTGGGGTTGTGGCTAAGTTTGAGGTAATTATATTGACAGTGTTCTTAAATTCATCCCAGAGCTTTCATCACTTCAAGAATGTGTAACATTTAATCTTATTACAGTCCTCAAAAACTGGAAAATAAAAATGAACACTTGAATAGAAAAACCTTTAACTTCTCATAAACACCCTTTAAGCTAATGTATACTAAAAAATTTCTGGAAGGACTTTAGTTACTGAATAGTTCTCACAATAATTAAATAAATTATAGGGCATATATGCACATTAATAGCAGCAGCTGAATTAAATATAAGAGCATATGTCCAGGACTAGAACTGTCAGCAGCTGTTAAATACTTGTTCTAAATGCAGAGCATTAACAACTGTATTCTTAAAGCAGACATAACAGGTTATGTTCAGTCTGGTTTTAATCAGTGACACATTTATTCACACACAGAGTTGCTATCAAAATAGCATTTCTCTGACTATTCTGACAGTATCAGAATATTTCTATGTTGATTCACATATAAACTAAATAAAGGAAAATGAAGTTTGTTGTCACCATAGATTCTTGAGACCCAGTGCCATGTTTGCCACTTCACACTGATGAAAGTTCAGTGCTTTTAGCGGAATTATTATTTATTAAACTGGAGTAACAGATTGCCAGAATGACCTACCGTAATGTTACAGAAGTAGCCTGTTCCCAAAAGTGAATTCCAAATGTCTTGAATTCCAGATGTGAAAACTGTGTTTATTTCTGTTCATCAACAAAACTTTGCATGACTTGGTTAGAGCTCAAGAAGAGATGTTAGTACTTTTCATGCTTAAACATAAGAATGTTACTGTATCGTTTTCTGGGCACTCCAATCCTTATTATATGGTTCCAGCTGTCCAACACTGTTAATAATCTTTCATAGACACTGGTATCCACCAGAAGAGCTACTGTAGGACACTTACATTTTACACTTTTAAAATATGCAGTATAATTGTATATACCTGTACCTGCTGAAACTTAAAACAAAGGATATACATGTGCTCTGGAAGGATGGCGGGTATTTTAATTAGAACAGCTCTTGGGAGCCACTCTAATTACAACACCCACAGTGTTTCATGTATTCAGCATCCTTTACTTCAAAATGGCAGGGGTGGGGTGCTTTAACTAAGCTCATTTAACAAGTTTTAGTTAAAGCACCCCTGCCGCCCTTTTGAAATGCAGGGACACTGAATGCATATGATGGTGAGGCCATCACACTTATTGTGTGATATGTATTTGCACATGTAGTTAGTCTTAAAGTAATTGTGCAATTAACCAGGTAATTGAGCAATACCTATAACATATAGAGGGGGCCTATAGCATGCAAATATTCCTTTGAAAGACAATATAAAAGTGAAAAAATATTTTTTTGGCATTGTTCTAATTAGAAGACTCCAGCAGACTTCATAGATTTCAAAGGCACTAGGGCTGGAAGGGACCTCGTGAGATCATTGGGTCCAGGCCCCTGCCCCAAGGGCAGGAAGTCAGCAGCAGTCAAAAGATGCCAGCAAGATAGGCATCCAACTGTTTTTTGAAAGTATCCAGAGTAGGTGCTTGCACCACCTCTGGGGGAAGTCTATTTCAGGCCCTGGGGACTCGGACAGTAAGAAAGTTTTTCCTTCTGTCCAGCCTAAAACAGTCCTCCAGGAGTTGTGACCATTGGACCTTATCTTCCCATGGGGTGCCCCGGTGAGCAGTTGTTCTCCCAGATCCTGATGCACACTCCTTATGTACTTATAGGCTGCCACCAAGTCACCCCTGACCCTACGCTTTTCCAGGCTGAAGAGTCCCATGTCTCTCAGTCTCTCTTCATAAGGTCTGCTCTCTTGTCCTCTAATCATTCACATGGCTCTCCTCTGGACTCTCTCAAGCTTCTCTACATCCTTTTTGAATTAGAGAGCCCAGAACTGGACACAATATTCCAGCTGTGGTCTCACCTAGGCTAAGTGAAGTGGGAAGATGACTTCCTGGGTCTTGCTTGAGATGCATCGGTAGATACAAGCTAGAGTTTTGTTTGCTTTGCTGGCTGCAGCATTGCATTGGTGGCTCATGTGCATGTTGTGATCAGTCATGACCCCCAAGTCTCTTTCAGTCATGGTGCTAGCAAGCGTAGCACTGCCAAGCCTATAAGTGTGGTGTGGACCTTGTATTTCTCAGTGCTGAATGCCATAAGGTTTTGATCCGCCCACCTTGTAAGCCTGTTGAGGTCAGCCTGGATTGCCAGCCTATCTTCTAGGGTGACCATACTTCCCCATAGTTTGGTGACTTGATTAATCAAGTCTGCTCTGACACATTCTAATTAGAACTTGTCAGAGCAGGTGTCCTGCATGTGTACAAGCACCCAAAATGTAAAGCAGTTTTAGTCTCTTAAGATATGTCTTTTCTGAACAATGCAGTGCCAAGCAGAAAACCTTGATCTAGTGCTAAATGAGCTGGCTTGGATACTTGAAGCTGTGTAGTTGTCCTAGTAAAGAACTTGCCAGGGGATTTAGTCCTGTTGAGAGGAATACATTATGTTTAATCTCATTAAAACCCTCAAAAATGCAAATTCAGTATAATATTAAGGGAATTAGGAGTATTTAAAATGATACTGTGAAGAAATATAGATTTAAAGTAAGTGGGCACTATGAAAGATGTGGTTCCCAAGAGCTGCCATGATTCCTAGATTCCTAGATGTTTGGGTCGGAAGGGACCTTAGCAGATCGAGTCTGACCCCATGCCCTGGGCAGGTGAGTCCGACCCCCTGCTCTGGGCAGAAATGAGTGCTGGGGTCAGATGACCCCAGTCAGGTGTATGTTTAGCCTCCTCTTACAGACCCCCAAAGTAGGGGAGAGCACCACCTCTTTTCAAAGCCCATTCCAGATTTTGGCAACCCTTACTGTAAAGATGTTCTTCCTGATGTCTAACCTAAATCTGCTTTCCATCAGTTTGTGGCCGTTTTTCCTAGTTACCCCAAGGGATACCCTGGTTAACAGATCATCTCCTCTTCCTTGCTGTCCCCCATCTATGTGCCTCCTAGCAGCCACATCTTTCCTGACAGACTCCTGCTTCTACCTCCCAGGGTCTCACCCTGCTTCCTCTCCTGCCACGTCTTATTGTTGGTAATGAAGGGAGCCTGCCTTCTTAGGCTGGTAAGCCTAGGTGCTCCCTCTCTCTTTCTTCTCAGTACTTGCTCTTTTAGGCCCTGTGTGCCTTAAGGGCTAAATTTGTGGTCTCCTTCTGTCCCTACAACCATGCCCATGCCTCACCAAGGTTACCGGTTAATAACTCTGATAGTTCTGAGAGCAAGGTGCCTTATGTCAGGCTTCCTCAGGTCTCCATGTCCTTGTTGGGGCCTTGGCCTTCCCAGCCTCTGC